GGTCTCTTTCAACTCTATGATTCTATGATTCTATGATTCTATGACCTTAATTTAACCTCTACACAATCTTAGTACATTTGCTTACATCTAGGGAAGACCTGTACCTCAACAGGAAGGCTTGCATCTTGCACAAAAAAAGTACCAGGCTACTAAATCTTTCTTCCATACTAGCAATTGGGGGGGGGGCATTCTCTACGATTTCTGAAGGGGGAAGGGTAGCTCAGGTAATGCAAGACAAGTCATCTGCATGACTTGTCCTCCAACACCTCGCTGCTGTCCTCCAACACCTGCTACATCTTCCAACACCTTGCTGCTGTCTTGAAGCACCTGCATTGCTCTGCCTAATGGAAAGGTTGGCCCTGCTCATGATCACTTGAAATTGGGGTTGATGTGAGATTTCCTTACCCACGGGTAAGGAAATAATACTAAATAATGTATAACACCATTTCTTTCAGGGATGGGAATAGGCTTTCCTTCAGATGATGTGGAACTACAACTACCAGTAGCTCTAGAGCCAATGATGAGGAATGCTGAATGTTGCAGGTTAACAACAGTTATGAAGTCTCTATTCTTATTTATGTCTTACCTGTGGCCTGTTCTATATGCAGCTAAATGTAAGATGGCTTGGGGTAGAGAAGAGTATCTGATGCAATACATAGGCTGTGATCTACACCTGCTAAATGTCCCTTTGTGCCAACCTGCTACCAGTATGGGGAGCAGCTTCCTGTTCCCACTTCTGTTACTGGAATTAATAGTAGAAGCAATATGAGGCGGCCTCCTTTTTAACAAACTCTTTCAGTTACTTCAAATTTATTTATGCTTACTGTTCCTGACTGCAATTCCCCAAAGCAAGCAAACTCGTGCTAATGGATAATTTCAAATATTCTTTTATAATTGGTCGTTATACATTATTTAGTATTATTTTTATTTAAATAGGAAGTAGTGTGTCCAGAGGAGGACAAAAATGATAAAAGGTCTGGAAAGAATGACTGGGTATGTTTAGCCTTGAGAAGAGACAATTAAGGAGTGGCATGATAGCCATGTTTAAATATTTACAGGGATGTAATATTGAGGATGGAGCAAGCTTGTTTCTGCTGTTCCAGAGAATAGAACCCAGAGCAATTGATTCAAACTACAGGAAAAGATATTCCACCACAACAGTAGGAAGCTCCTGATGGTAGGAGCTGTTTGACATTGTCTCAGAGAGTAGTGGAGTCTTCTTCTTTGGAGATTTTTAAACAAAGGCTGGGTGGAGATCTGTCAGGAGTGCTTTGATTGTGTATTCCTGCATGGCAGGGGGGTTGGACTGGATGGACCTTGTTGGTCTCTTCCAACATTATTATTTTCAAAATGTAGGGTTGGCCTGAGACATTTTGCTGCTGCCCAGGACAAGAACAGTTCTTCTTCCTGTTCCATGCACACCATGCACATGTCAACTAGACTGAGTACTGCATTCTACTTGCATGCTGATGATGAGACATGATACACACAACTCTTATCCAACAAACTGATACAGCTCAATGTCTCCTTGCATCTGCTATCTGAGGTAGCTTCCTCACTCTGTCTAATGATAGGCCAAACCTGTATCTAATACTTAACAGCAGATGTCCTCTGGACAGTTCACAGCAGCTTTTTAAGGATCATCTCAGCCTGGCATGTGCCCAAGAGACTTCTCTCTTACCTCCCCCACTGTAACACTGTAGTTCTTCTTTTTCAGCTCATTGCATTTTCATGATGCCTATGATAATAGCAGATGTTACACTCTTCCCTTGTAAAGGGAACTGTGAGTGCCTATTGGGATGCTGAAAAACTAAAATTATCAGCAGCATCTAGGGAAACAGGCACATGTAAATCATTTTCCTCCCTCCTTAAGACACATTTAGGCAACTGCATTAATATTCTTACCCTTTTCTTTTCTTTTTATTCCAAAAAAAGATGAGTAAGTAATCTCATTTGATGATGTATGATAATTACAAAGACCTTGGGGATATATCCCAATTATTGGTGACAATTTATTAAGTTTTCATTCAACAAATGTCATGATGAGCTAATTTTCCACCCCAAGAGCATACAAAGGAGGCAAAGAGCTCTTTTGTTCCTCTATCATTGTTTTAGACAGAACTGTTATGAAAGGATAGAAAGGGAAGTGTTGCTCAAAGAAAAGCTGACAACCTCTGAGCTCATTTTCTGGCAGTTTATGTCCCAACATAACTTTTCTTTTCATAAGACACACACACAGGAAGATTGAAAACAATATTTGACAGTCTTCAGCTGGTTAGAGAACATTGCCAGCTAGCTACTTCAAACTAGAATACATCCAAAATGTACCACTCTTACAGCTGAAAATTTTTGGTTTTAGTAATAGCTGCCTATCACTATTGTAATAGGAAAATCCTGATAAACTGATCTTATTCTGAAATCTATCTTTTAATACAAAATTCTGTAGAAAACCAAACTGCTCCCTTTTGTGGAAACCACAGAATCACACATAGGAACTTGCCAAAGTATTCACAGGTATAGAATTCACTTGCATGAGATCCTAGTCTGACACAAAAAAACATTTTCCAGAGGTGGAAATATCCTATCATGGGTTGATTACCTATTCATTGCTCTAGTAGGCAAGAAATAGACTTGAATGGAGTCACCACAGAGGGAGAAATCCCTACCATCCCTCAGTCTTTTTTCTGCCGCTACTCATTCCTTTGTCTTAGACACCTTAATCTTCCTCCTGTTTTTCTTATATTTCTTATATTTTCTCCAACTTTGGCAACTGCCTATAAAAACAACAATGTTCTTTAGCCTTTATTTTATTCTTTCTTAACCTTATCTGCTGAGGCAAGGCCAGGGAGGGAGGGACAGTTTCGAAGCTGTGCTGTGAGGTAAATATACCCAACTCCAGCATTAAAGAAGACAGCCCAGGAATGTGTGGAGAATATTTTACTTCAGCTGAACTGAAAGGGCTAAAAGACCACAGAGCCCAGGTGCAGTTGGAAGAGGGAGATCTCTCTGTCATTGACCAAATGTGCTGTGCTGCAAACACCTGGCAAGGGGTTTAAGCAATAAGAAAGCAAACCTAAAAGGACCTTGGTGTAGTCAGAGGAGGGAGAACCCTCTGTCCTTGACCAAATGGCACCCCACCACAAACACCAACCCTGGTAAGGAGTTTGTACAATGAGAGAGAGAGAGAGAAAAAGAGGGAGGAGGCAGATTTGAACATGTGAGTAGTGATCCGATTCCTCCTCCTATGTTTGTGGGATAAGCTTTACTCCAGAAGCTTGTGTCTAGCTTGCATTGCCAGTTTTGAAAGGGACTGCAGTTACTCAGAAGTGCAAGCTGGGGTTTTCCATCAAAACCAACTGTCAGATCCTCCACAATCCATTCACTCCCAAAGGGATCAGAGGGGGTTAGTAGAATGATTTTCCAGGTGAAGGGAGTCTTCTCCATCTGCCCCATCATCCCCTAGTTTGGAGTTTTTAGTCGGGGGGGATGGAATATGGGCACTTGAAACCAAAGCATTTCTTTATTGTGCTCACCTTTTAAAAGAAGGGGGCAAATCTAGATGCTGAAGATGTGGTGGTCATTTTGGTTAAGGAAAAAAGAGAAAAGGCCTGCCTGTTAGTGGATGTCCTCCATTTTTCTTGGTAAATACTTTATTTTAGAGTTCCCTATGACCCCAGCCTGACCCTCGGGAGATGGCAGTCATAATCCCTAAATGTCATGTAGCCACTGCTGGAGTTGCCGAAGACCACTAGAGATTTCCTGGACAGGCAGGTTTTGGAGTTGCCCTTGGGAATATCCCATTATAATAGTAATAATAATAAAATAATAAATTTT